AAGCATCAGTTATCTGCCAGTCTTCCAAGAAAATGCAGGATTAATTAATGAATAAGTATCAGGTTATATATAAAATTGAAAACAAATGTAAATAAGTATGTGAATAAAAGTGCACATGTAAAAAAAACATTATTAAATATTCATTATTAATCTAAATCAGGTAACATAAAAAAATAGTATAGCAATTGTAGGAAATGGGCAAAAGCTAATAGCTAAGTAAGTCAGTCATTTTAATTTTTTATATCCTTATTTTTTGTAGTTTTCTTTATTTATCATAGGTAATGTCTTTGTTTTGGATTAGTTTGTTTTTTTAACTATGGTTTTGCTTCATTGATATTTTATTGGTACATGCCTTCTTGGTATCCAAAGGTTTGGAATAGGTAGAACACATATGTGATTGCTGCAACTGTGAGAGACTCGTGGATTTAGGATGAGGAAGGATAGATATAATGGTCTGTCACCAGTTGAAGGAAAGAGATAAGCCTTGATATGAGTATGAACAAAACAAGGAAAAAAGAAAGTGAATAGTTACCAATTGTCTAGTGACAGGAATTGGTGCTTCAGTAGCTGATTGAAATTAATGGGAAGAAAGGCTGTATTTAAATAGAAGAAAATAAATTAGAGTTGAAACTGAATTTGAAATTGTAAGTAATTGAAATCAAAGTAATCAAAACACAAAGAGTCAGCAACTGGTAGATCATGAGTAGAAAACATGGAAAAGATTTCCTGGCTCCTTCAAAGTTCCAATATGCCATAGCTGTCTCTTTCAATCTACATTCTTTGTATCGTAGACCATTCACAAAATTGGATTACTAGAATATGAGTGTATCTCTGCTTTTTGTTACATTCACAAAGTAATCTCACACTCAAGATGGTTTAAACTGGCAAAAATCACTAATTTTTAATGTAAAATACACAGGGAATCCCAGCAGTAATTAATGGGATTAACTGTAATATTTATGGTGTATTGGTTCACATTCCTCTGTGTAACTCATGTTATTACGGACTCTATAACCAACAAAGTTGAAGACACAAGTAATTTGGTGCATAAATAATTTCGAAAAATGTGTTTAGAAAACTAACTGTAACACATAAAAGAAACAAGGTCAAAACCAATAATGCAGAGGAATGATATATAGGAACCTATATCAGGTATTTCTGTTTCCTAAAGGATCTTCACTTTTGATTATTAGCTCTGAAATAATGTATCAAGATTGACTAAGTACAGGTAATATACAGTTTATGTTAAAAAGTGAAATAATTTGGTCCCTAGCAGTAATAACCAAAGCTCATGTACAACTTATTATGTCCAACATGCATTCCCCTTATTATTATGTCCCCCTTTTAAAACCATCAAAATACTAAGAAATAAAAATCATCACTGTTCACAAACTTATTGTGGGATATTTACATTATACTTTTATAATAAATTACACATAACTAATATTTAGAACTTCCTTTTGGATTTATATAGAAACATCCTCAAGCTAGTTAAACTGCCTTATTACCCTATGAAACTAAAAATGAATACAGCTAGTACATAAAAAAAAGTTAAGAAATAGTACTGCATACAAAAACATAGCAGGTTTGTTATTTCTTAAAGTACTCAAAGTAAATTGCAAGTGTATACTGAAAACCTATATACACTATTTCAAGTTTAATTAAAACAAAGCAAACATTTAGGTACAGGTACAAATGAACTATTAATAAGTAATGATAAGATCATACATATATACAATTCCTATGCAATTTTGTTATGACCTATGAAAGCTCTGCCCTCAAAAATTGAGCTTCCAGCTCGAAAATATAGAAGTTTCAATTGAAGGAACATTTCTTCCAGTTTTTAACTATAACAATTTAGCTTCAGTTTATTTACTTTTATTTACCTAATATATTAAAATCTTACCTGAAGCTGGACGTCTGAGGAGAGATCAGAATTTTTCATCAACTGTTTAACTTGTCTACGGCTTTCAACTAATTTGCGAATTTCAGTTGGAAGAACACCTGGTTCCAAACTAGGATCTGGAAGTTCTACTTGGACTTCATCCTCCTACATACAGTTGTGAAATTGTACTCACAAAGGTGAATAATATTGTTCACAATTTCATAAAATACTTTTCTTTGTTTGTAAAACAGTAAAGGAAAATATTATTATTGTGAGAATGAAGTTTTCAAATGTGGCTACAAACAAAAATATCTATAAAATCCATTTAATAAGAAATTATTCCACTTTATACATTATTCTAAAAATGTTTGCTTTATATAAAAATAAAAAAATAACTTTTTCATCATCAAATGGGAACAATAATGAAACTATTTGATTTAGCAAAGTATTATTAAACACAAAATAATATTTTCTCAAACATATAAAGACATTTCATTTTTTTAAATAAAAGTTAAAACTTTTTTGAACAAAACTAAGAAATATCATTATGGTTTACTCAGAATTGTTTACATTAGCATCAGCCTTCAATACAAATGTGTTATTTACTTTCACATAGTTAAGCATGAAAATGACTAAAATCTTTGAAGAAACAAAGTGTTTAAAACAACATAAAACATTAGTACGAGATTGAAAATTTTCATATTAATTTCTGTATTGGCAAGTATTCTTCAAACTAGGGCATTAACAAATTACCTGCTGGGAATAGCTTAAAACTACTATAATAATGAAAAAATATAAGTTCTATTTACTAATGCTTTCTTAAAAGTATTAAATCAATCTATTTTAGTAAACTGTCAGTAGTTAATCTGAAATGTCATGTGACAGAAGATATCAGATGAGAATGAAATTGATTAACATATCCTTATTCATATTTTAGACTCTATGCTAGTCCTTCAATGACTGAGGAAGTTGGCACATAACTGCAAATACTGTCCCCTAGCAGAAAAAAGAAAGGTTAAGTGTCTATATACAATGATGTCAACCAGATAAATTCACTGTCTGTTTTTTGAAAAAAAGTTAACATAGTGTTTACCTCATTATTGGTAAAAGCAGCTGGAGCACGTGAAATGGTTGTGAAGCATATGTTGTATTCCTGAATAATTGATGGGTATAAACTGTTGAAATCCATAAGAAGAATGTACTTGTCATAGAAACCTGAAACATACATGAAACTGATTAACATATTAAGTTACTTTTTATATAAAATATATTTCAAAATGGTAGGAAAAAAAAATATATATATATAATTACAAATTGGCTATTTTTAACATTAATCAAAATAAACAGATGGAAATAGTTATATGTCACTCTAAATTATATTTGGGCAAAAATATGGACAATAAGTTAGTTTTTAAATTCAATTATAAGCTCATATACTACTTACTAGCAAATGTGATAGTAGTAGATGAATAAGAGGGTAATTCTAGATATTAAGTTTTAGGCTCACCTTTAAGCTACTAGTAATTACAGCAGTGATATTCATTATGAAATTTGATAATTAAATCTGTCTGAACTAAATTAAAACCTTACAAATTTATTAGTTTCAAACAAAGTTTATTTCACAATATTTTCAATGTTTTCTGTTTGCACTATTACAATCATTTTTTTGTTTTATGGTTTGTTTTGAATTTTGTGCAAAGCTACACGAAGGCTATCTTTCTTACTCCTATTATGTTATTAGTCCTCAACACTTTTTATATTATTTAATACGTGTATAAATATCATTAAACAAGAAAAATCTGATTGTAACAATTTCAAGACAGATAGAACACCACATGGTGTAAAAATTATTTTTTTTATTTTATACATAATGTTCAATTAACAGGTAATGAGCGAAGATTTGGTATGCTTATACTGTATGCCTCATTCTCCTATAATATATATTTAAATATAATGAATCAAATATTTAACTTTTTTCTGGAGTTCTAGTTTAGAACTAATTTATGGATTAGGCCACATGCTAATGCAACCTTACTTGTTACTCTCTACAGCATGAATGAATCAAGAATGTTATCTGCTGTTGCACAGAATAGTTATACCCGGTGGTATGAACAGCATTACACTAATAACTTATATATTTTAAAGGAATAGGATAGTTTTGTTGTGTAACATATTAATTTGACTTATCTTTCAACTTAAAGAAAGTAATATGAAACATTTGGCACTAACTTTATATTATGCAATATATGATTCTTTGATTTTTTAATACATATAAATAAATAAGTCTTCTATATAGGAATGAAACCGTGGAGATTAGTTGTTGTTATGACTAACAGCATAGTTATTTTTTAACTTTTAACTGGCTGATTACTAATTCCTATATTTTGGCTATTAAGCTGGCGATATGTAGAATAAATTAATAGTTAATTAGTCAATCAGTAGATTAACCCTCAAATTACTGACATGCTTTTTATGATATTCACTATACTGATTAATTTTTATGTTTTTGTCTGTTAAAACATCACATTTGAAGTATAATTTTTTTTTTCATGTAACTTTTGAATATTCAACCACTTTTTTGAGGTTCATGAAGAATATTAAAAACTTGTTTACATTTCTTACAAATGAGTTATATATGGAAATTTACAGTTGACTTTATTTAGCTTTAATTTATTTCCTGTCATTACACATGCCATTTATATCTAGTGCTTATATGAATGTTTGTATGCATCAATACCTTTGTTGAGCATTTAAACACTTTCCAAGGACTCATTCTAATATCAATAAAAATTGTTAAAACTACAGCTTTAATTTTTCTGCTAGTATGTATAATACCCTTGATGTTATTTAGTAAAAAAGAAAAAATTACCAGTTTGGAGAAGAACAATCGATTGGAGGAAAGACTGCTTGTCAAAATAAATAAAATAAAGTGAAATAAATTTGTTTTACTGTAAATTACTTATTATTCTTTGAATTCAAAAAGAATAAACCAGTTTTATTAAGTAAGGACTTGTGTCGCTAAAGTTTCGTCGGAACGAAGTTACGGAAAGTTAATTAACAAACGGAGACGTAACAATACTATAAGCATTTAAAGATGAACTGAAAAAATGCTTCCATCAGTGGTATATCAGCAAGGTTACATCGTTGTTGGGAGACAGCCCATGTATGGAGAACCAGCATGTGTCCATTGACACCCAGACGGCCATTTTGAAACCAATCCACGCACGCTGGCTTATTAAAAGCCATGAGGTAACTAGTAAATGACATGAACTGATCCAATCAAGTTTCCACTGATTATCATTTGTATGTTCCCATTAATAAATAATAATATTTAAATAATAATATATAACTTCACGATACACTTATTTTCAACAGTCGCTCTTTTACAAACGTTTTAACAACGAACGTTAACATCAACAATACGTCTCTCTCTGACTGCAGTTCAATTACTCATTACCTTTACACACACTATTCTATTACCGTCACGTTGTCACCCTCTTTTATATACCAAACTACCCTTTATCTAGTAAATACTAGAGCATTCGCCAAGGTACAGGATACTTCTAGAAAATAGGTGGCGCCACACCAGTCACGTGTTCTCGATGACGCAACAATAATGATCTTGAAATGTGTGGTAACGAGACCTGATGAAATACAACTTACAAGTGTAATTTGACTCATTCCCCTCATACCGAACCACAATTACGATACATAAGTTTACATGTGTACTCATCTATCTCTTTGAACTGTTTTGATTTTAAGACAGAAAAAATAGTTTCACATATCAGAGGTCTCCGTCTCCTTTTCAAACAAAGCGTTATAGTTTAAACTTGCTTAACGTGCAGTTTATTTTGTAACTTGCAACGTAATAGTAATACTTACAGTTACAGGAAGTTTTTCTTTTTGGGTTACCCGATAAAAAATAAAAATGCATAGTCTAGTCCACTTAGTGAAAATTGAAACGTTTTATTCCACCGACTTAAGTTCAAAAAGTACAACTTGTACAAGTTCCATGTAACGATAGGCCTAACTTCACCGATAAATAACGCCTCAATAGTGACTTATGTTTCGTAACTTCCCTCGAGCGTACGGTACGTTTTTATATCTCTAGTAGTTTGTTGAAAACGCAAAATTAAAATTTACAGAGCTGAACCAACTAACTGGCTGAATCAATAATTCATTATCATTTCCAAACCCTACTTTTGCCTAACTGTTAGTTTTAGTACTTTCAAATAATTTCCTAACTTTCCAGAACTGACATCAATACTCCCTCTGGCAAAACAAAAATACAAATCTTCAAGTTAAAAAGAAGAAGAAAAACTTAAGCTACGACATTACACTAGCTTTAAAAATTTCTCAACTTGTATGTCCATTTAATTATAAATGTATATAGTCGTTTCTGTTTCACAAAAGAAAATAGGTTCTAGTCTCAATGTAACTATAAATGTGGTCTTTTTTCATACAACAATATCTGTTTAACGCCCGTCCACAGACATTAAAAAAATAGTCTTTCAATACGGAGTTTTGAACCAATATCCTTCCTCAAGATCCACTGTTTGTACTACAAAGAAATCTGATGTAAGAAGAGCCTGAAACCTTGCATTCGAATGGTTGTTTTCTCTGTATACTTGTGTCCAAGGAACTGCTGAATTCGTAAAATTCTGAAACATTTACCCACTGAAGACATTCTGCTGACTGTAGGCAAACCAAGCATAAAAAAATATTTGCGGGTCGTGGGTTTCAATCCCCGTCACACCAAACATGGGGGCGTTATAATGTGATGGTCAGTCCCACTATTCGTTGGTAAAAGAGTAGCCCAAGAGTTGTCGGTGTGTGGTGATGACTAGCTGCCTTCCCTCTAGTCTTACACTGCTAAATTAGGAACGGCTAGCGCAGATAGCCCTCGTGTAGCTTTGCGCGAAATTCATAACAAACCAACCCTTATATGTAATAGTAAAACACGCAAAATCGCATAACGCAAAAGTGAAAATTCGTATGTATCTCCCCATGAACCCGAATAACCTCCATACCAAATATGGTGAAGATCCATTTACAGGGAGTGAAGTAGTGGTAAAAAACGATCAGACAAACCGCAAAACTGAATATTTGCACGTACCCCCCACGTGTATCTAATGAACCTCCATATAAATTTTGGTGAAGATCCACCCACACCCTGCAAAGTACTTACATGGACAACAGACAGTACTACTATATTTGTATAGATATATTTGTTGACACAGTGACAGTGAAGTGTTTGTGCCCTTTGATTAAAACCCCTTCCGTGATTTGCCCAAGATAACTTGGGCATCCTCCATGTTTCAAAAATATTTGCTCTAGTTAATTCCGGCAAACCATTTCTCACCGTATTTCTAATTATTTGCCCGAATTTATTCGCTATATTATCATATATTACAATAGGCTCTCAAAAAACCAAATATAAAAATGCCTTTTTTGGAAGCTCATTTTCAAGAAAAAATAAAACAGAATACTTGATACGGAAGGGGTTAATGACATGGTTATCAAACAGTAACATTACCCAACTAAAAAGTGTCAGGGAGAACAAAGAGTAATGGATGTCACCTGCCAAAAGTGTAGAAATTATATTTTGGTACTAAAGGTCGCTTCTCTTCACTCTAGGCACGTGTAGTCCAATAAAATTTCAAATCTGATAACACTGCCATAGTCGTCAACTAATAATATTATATGGTTATGAAATAACAATAATGCCATAGTTACTAATAAATCATAATTCCCTACTATCAGAGCATCACTCCGGTTTTTCCGTCGCATGTGATAGTAAGAATACATATTGATTTGACAGGTTTTGGTGATTCGCCTCTGGCGAAGAACATGTGTTATCACGCAGAAAAATAGATCCGGTAAGCTTAGTAATTGCTACATTTTTCTCGCATTTTAATGAAATTGTTGTGCTGTAATCTATCTTCACCTACTAAAATGTATTTTTGGCATGAAAATTGGAAACCAATTATCTCAAATTCTACAAAAGTAATTACCATTTTTTAACGTAAACAACCCTTGGGTAGAAATATTGTTACGACATCGAGGTCACGTGACTAGTATCACGCCACTTCTTTCTCGAACCTTCGTGAATTGTCGGGAGATTACTAGATTGGGGGTAGTCTGGTATATATAAGATGGTCACAACGTGACGGGACAATGTGTAGGTAATGAGTAATTGAACTGCAGTCAGAGAGTGTGTAATTGAGTATTGTCGAGCACGAGCACGTGAGACGTTCTAGCGTTCGTTATAGCGCGACTGTTGAAATTAAGTGTATCGTAAAGTTGTATTCGGAAAGAATAAACCAGTTTTATTTGAGAAAGGACTGGTGTCGCTAAAGTTTCGTCGGAACGAAGTTACGGAAAATTAACTAACGACTGGAGGCGTAACAATATATATGTTTATATTGTTACGTCTCCGTTTGTTAATAGATTTTTCCGTAAATTCGTTCGACGAAAAGTCCTTTCTTAATAAAACTGGTTTATTCTTTC